CTCTATCCGGCGATAATCCAGGCAACTCCTCGGGAAAAACATCAGAAAATTCCTTGACAATCCAGATTCTTTCAATATCAGATTGAGAACTCCTAGTATCCAATATATAAGCAAGAAACGCCTCGGAACTTTTCCTAATCATCTTCTCAGCTACCAAAACAGACACAACATTCGTCAGAAATCCACGGCGTTCCCCGATCATTACAATCTTTTGATTATATGGGGTCTTCAGAACAGTTCTCTTGATCTCAAAATCAATATTTACTTGATGTTTATCCAACCAATCTACGCCGAGAATCAAATCAAACTCTTCCAAATGTAACTCCATCAGGTCGGCCAGAAAAATCTCCCCGTTGATCTCTATAGGACACTCTCTAAAAATATGATCCAACATTATGGACTTGCCTAAGGGACTTTGAACTATCACCGAATGCTCAGTATTCTCCACAGGAATATTTAGACCCTCAGAAACGGAATATGATACATAGGAATTGGTAGAACCACTATCAAACAATGCAAAGTAGAGAATTGAATGAATAGTAACAGTACTTGCAGTTATATTAGGCCCATCGTATCCTGTCGAAGTCTGGCAGTTTAAACCAATGCAGGCTGTCTGGCCTCAGATCTGACTGGACCCCTACTCTAAGATGCTCGGCCTCTGCTAGCCGATCCAGGTGCTCTCTCCTGAGTACGACCCCGTGCTGAAGTCTGGACTGTATTATGAGAACTAGCGTGAGTACGAGCTGGCGTCTGAAATGATCGATCTCGCTCTGGACAGTCCTTCAAAAAATGGTCACCATAACCACATTTATAACATGTGCCCAATTTCATCATGCATTATCCAAGATGATGTTTTCCACAGTAATCACATGTCTTCAAAGGTTGCAACCCAGAAGATCCCCCATGTCTAGAAGAATGTACAGCTGAAGAACTGAATGCCACAAGTGTGACACTTGCACCACCTCTCTAAAAGGATTCACCCCTGCCTCTCTTGCTGGGGTGTGCAAAAGAATCTACAGAACCAGAAGGCCTCTTGAATCGAGTTTGAGTTCGATCACTATCTCTCTTATGTTCTATACCTAAACGCTCTATTTCCTCAATAGTCTTGGCTATCTCAACCAATACATCAAAATTCCTCTCTCGGTAGGTAGCGACTCGACTCTTAATCTCATACCTGAGTCCATTCTCGAACCTCAAGCATCGATCTATCTCAGTGTCCACAAGTCCAGGAGCATAGCGGCTCAATCAGATTAACTCAACCTCGTAATCCATAACAGACATGCTACCCTGCTCCAGATTCTGAAACACATGACGTCGCTCCTACAGGCATCTCTCTCCGATTTAGTGACTCCGGAAGCGCGTCTTGAAAAGATCACATGTTAACTGGTTTCTCGGAATACTACCAGAAATTAATTGCCACCATCTGAAGCTCTCTTTCTTCAACATAGTTAGAGCCCCCTTTAACTTCTGTTCAGGTCTGAGGTCCATCTCATCCATAATCCTCTATGTGTGCTCCAGCCAATACTCAGCATCTGTCGGAGGTCCACTAGTAATACCCTCGAATAGAACTATACCAGCAGCAACCAGAGAATTTGAAATCTCAACCGTAGTCATATTACTAGGGGCTTCTGGTAGCTCTATGAAACATGCAGAATATAGCTTTATTAATGGCATTTTCGTTCATGTCAGTATCCTCATCTCCAGTGACGAGAAGATCTCTCACAGGAGTAAACTGATCATCATGAGAAATGGTCGGATCTACTTACGGAGGAGAATCACGTGGTGACATCGGATCGTCTATCGTAACAGAAGGTCGAGCGACTCGCCCTCGACCATAGCCACGTCTTGTCCTACGACCTCTAGCAGCACTCATCGTTGGATCTATAAGGCTCTACAGAAAGAATTTGAAACATATGTCAGATTAGCATCAGGGATCTCGAGAAAACTTTAAATCATAATATAAGGTGACATTTTTTTCTTTCAAAATTTCTTAAAAATCCAAAGTTTAGGACCCATATACAGTCCGAGTGTTTAAAACCGAAAGCTTTGATACCACCAAATGTAACCCCCCCAGACTTGATCTGTAAGTTAGACCCAAACCTAAGTGGTCACATATCCCATTCAGAGTTTTTTATATATTTAAAACAACTTATAATACATTAGATATAATACATAACAAAATATTAATAATACAGATATATCCAAAACGATAGCAAATACATGTCACTAGATACAACTGAAAAACATATAGAGATATATGTTCGTACAAAATAAGTAGTTTATCTCTCCTGATGCCAAATCTGCTAGCTTACGGTCTACTGTTATTTGAAAAAGGGTAAAAACTATAGAATGAGCTAAAAAGCCCAGTGTGCTCCAAACAGTGTATAAAAACATACGAATAAAATATTCCAATAAAACCGGTTATCAAACATGTTTTAAAATATGAACACTACCCCCATCCGTCAAGTCCAAAATGTGTAGGTTCCCCAGAACCATACACCCACCGTCAAGTCCAGTAAGGCCCTGAGCACACAGCCGAGGAGCCGATAAGTAAGGCCTTGACCACACAGTAGAGGAGCCTCCAGGTATACTTCCTCCAATATTATCTCCCAAATAAATCATGTTCCGCTCATAACGGATATATATATATATATATATAAATTTAAAACATAATTCAGGTCAAGTAGCATATCAGAATCAATGTCATGTATCATATAAAAATCCAGGTCAAGTATCATATCAAAATCCTGTCAAAAATCAAATAAACTATCCATATGATAGTTTAAAACAGTAAGATAACACCGTCAGGAAACACACCTGTAATAGTCTAAGAAATTAGATAGGGAAGCCTATTACTGGATCTGTCGATCACGCTCTGCTGCAGCGCTAGATCCTACGAATTAGAAAATTCCATATTGAAACCCTAATATAAATAATCTAAATCTTATTTAAATAATATATGAAAACCTACAGGTAATTCTTGTAGTACGTGGTTTGGGCTGATCTGATGAACGGACAATACTGGACCTAACTGATCCCCTTTCAGGTGAATCACGAGTACCTTCATAAAATATTTTACTCAATCAATTCCTTAACCAAATCTCAAATAAACAATCAAAAATGCTAAAATACTAACCCTTTTGGGTTAACAAGCTCGATTCAGGAATTTTGGGTCAAAATTTGGCAAAACGGACTTCGAAATCAGATTCAGAACATCGAAAAACATAAAGTATAACCTTCCGAATATTTAAATTCTTGGTCAAATTCAAAGTTAACGGGTTTGACTGACAATTTGGAGACTTTTGAGTTCGAATTTGGTGAAACGGATCCCAAAAACGGATTCGGAACGTCAAAAAATGTCAATATAGGTATACTCGGGAAAAATTAACGGCTGTTTAATAGCCGGTCAAAGCTGGTCAAAGTTCCGGTCAAAGGAGGTCAATAGATGATCAACCATTTTACGAAAATAGGACCCTTTAAAAATAATTACGAAAATAGCACCCTTTTAAAAATAATTATGAAAATAGCACCCTTTTAGAAATAATTACTAAAATAGTACCCGATCAACGGTCAACGGTAAACGGTTCGGGTCAATGGTCGGGTCGAGTTAATGGTCGGGTCAGGTCAAAACCGGTCAAACAGTTTAAAAACCGGTCAAACCGGTCATTTTAACATTGGGGGCGCGTTGGCCACTTTTCGGCGTCGGAAAAATTCCTAAAAAATATTTTAAGCGATTTTGAGGCACTTACAAAGCTCGGTTCACAATTTTGAACGGTGGAGTGCTCGATTTTAACAAATCAGAAACTTTGACCTCCTCACGCGTCGTCGCCGACGGAGACCAAGGATGACACCGGCGGACTCGATACGGCACAAGGAACACGATGGTGCGGGAGGTGTCGAAAATGGAGCAACGATCGACGATGAATTTAAGATTTTCTCGGTGATGGAGCTAAAAAAAACGTCGAGGCTTTGACTTGAAATTCACGGCGTTTGGCAGCGTTTCACTTCAATTAATTTAAGGGGTTTGTTCCTCGCTCGATTATGAACATGATGGTGGTTTCAAAACAATGATCGGAGGTCGAATGGCGTCGGAATAGTGGTTGGAAGTTAGGGTGCGGGAGTGAAGAAAAGCTTAGAATTTTTTTTCTCTTATGACAACTCCCCGCATATATGATTCTCATTTATTAGTGTTGGCATTTTTTTGGGTAAATTTAGGGTTTAGTCCTTGATTTTTTTTAAACTTTAAAACATGCTACAAGTTTTGAGAACTTTTAATTTAGTCCCCAATTTTTACCAAATTGCTTAATTTCATTTTTTTTCTTCAAATTTTCTGGGTTGTTACAAATTAACATATACGGAATGAATCATTGGAAATTCCTATTATTTAATAACATTGATGAAGTATGTTGCCAAAGTACCAAAATAATGCAACTGGTAACATCATTTTTCCAAACATGCACTCACAACATGAAAGTGTGAAACATCTAATAAAAAATCCAAGGATAAAAAAAATTGTTTCAGTACAAATCAACAACAGGTTCCAAGTACTTGAAGCCATCAGAAACCAAACAAAGGAATAAATGCAAATGGAAGTAAAATATAGTAGTAATTCATAGCAAAAAAAAGAGGGAATGATCATCAATGTCTCAACACCATCATCTTTCAGCCGTAGGTTCCATATAAGATGATACAGGCATGAACATGGTCAAATCAGTCAGTGTTCCTCAATTGCAATATACTGTGAGAAATATTCGCATACTAACCTATGTGCCAAAGGGACCTGCATGATTGTTCACATCTTCAAGGATTTTCTGGAGCTCGGACTCAAGTTCCTCGAGCTCATGACTAGTAGCAATAGGCATTACATCCTCGACTGTTTTCTTCACATAAGTATTCGTTGGCTAGGCGGAGAAATGGCGAACGAGAGAAGAAGCAGAAGAGGAAGGAGAAATGTTAGATTTGAATAGAAGTGGCGCCGTTTTAGAAGCGGATTGGCAAAGAAGTGCGGATAGAGATTTTGAACTGTGAAGTGAGTAGCCTTCTCCACATATTTCAGAAATCGAAGGGATTTTGTTCAGTTCTTTTGGTGATCACAGGTCTCGCCCATATCTTGATGCTGCTGCATGAGGATGCGAGGATTGTAGAGCGAGAACACGGAGGCGGCGAAAATTGAGGACGAGGTCGTGGTGGAGGAAGAGTAAACTCCATCGCTCTGGTGATCTTTCAGCTGATTGCCTCCGAGGTCGTCATAGAAGGTTGAAAAATTATGGTTTTGCATCTGAACCTTAACTGGAACGCTTCCAATTTTCTCTTCCGATCAGTGGAAGAGAGAGAATGTGAGAATTTTTTTATTGCTCTCCTCCATCGGTTGAGAATGTGAGTTCCAATTTAGTTGCCCTATCTCACAAAAGTTTTGATGATGGCTAGACAATTAAATATTAAAATTATATTTGATCTCCTCCATCGGTTGAGAATGTGGTTTGCATGGGTTGAGAATGGGGTTCGCATGGGCCAGTATTTGGGTCTTAAAATTGACCTACAAAATAATAAAATTAAATTAATATTTAATATTTAATAATTATAATAATAATAAAAAAAATGATAAAAATTCTCGAACAAAACGAGTGTCTACACAATGGCCAAATCTTTTATCATTTTCCTCATATCTTTGCATGATTGTGGAATTTTTGTAAAAGGAAACATTTCTCTCAGAAACTCTAATAACTGCATAAAAGAGTTACAAGTCCATCCTTCCAAACATTTTAAGTGTAAAACACAAATAAAAAATGAGAGTTTTAAATATTTTAATCCCTCATAAAGTTTTTCATTCATCTCATCAAGCAACTCATTAAAACTTTGTCGCTTATCCATTTGGCTCTTCATCACATCCACTTCTTCTCATCTCGGAAAAATGATTAACACCCATATCACAATCATCTTCTCTAACAGACTGATGATGATTGTGCATATTAAATGCATCCCACATCATATCCTCCATGTTATCTTCTCTAACAGATCTATGGTGAGAATCAGGACAATAGTCTGGATTACTTGTGGATGAAGATCTACGAGGTGTCAACTCTCCATGGAAAATCTCTTTTTTAAAGCCCCAAACAAAGTCAAATACAATTAGATGTTCGTAGACAACTTCACGAACGTGCTAATTAATGTTAGCACACTTCTTACAAGGGAAAAGAATCATGTTCTCTTGGCTTGCTTTTACAAAAGTAAAATTTAGAAAAGTTTCGACTCCATTTCGAGAGTCGTCGATTATCCTTGACAAATTCATCCAATTCTTATCCATTACGTATTTTTGGTATATTCATTTCAAATATTAATCAGTGAGGTTAATTTTCTCCAATTAAATTCACAAATCGTTAATTTTCTCTCTTAAATTTTAACGGGTTAAATAGCGTTGTATATATATTTTTTTTTGGATAAGTATAATTTTATTTATCCAAGAGGAAGCAACAAGCTGCTACAAAAAACATGACAAACAACCTAGATTAGACCCCAATTTAAACATAATCTCCTATTAACATCATCCATCATATTCATAGAACATCTATACAATTTAATTCTAACAGCCTCTCTAATGTTATTTAAAATTGCATCAGCTGAACGAATCAAGCCTCTAAAATACATGTGATTACGTTCCTCCCAAAGAAAGTAAACAAAATCAGTCCACGCGAGCTTAAGAATGTGGACAAGAAGGGATTTACCCTTCAGATTCGAGATCAACCAGTGCAAGGCATCATCCCAGCAGTTTAGCGTCTGAGGTTGAAGGCCGAACTCACGCAAGATAGCATTCCATATCTCCCTTGCAAAGGAGCATTCCAAAAACAAATGATTACGAGTTTCCTGGTTACCAGCACACAGTCCACAAACGTTATCATTCCCTATGCCAAATTGAGTTAATCTATCTTTGGTTGGCAGTCTATCGAGTATCACCATCCATGCAACAATGAAGAATTTAGGAGCGTTGTATATATTTAACTAAGGGGATCATTAATTAAATTAAAATTTGAATTCATATATTTCATTGCAAAGACAATAATTAATCGACTAGGTACCGATTTTCAAGTATTGTGGGGTACTAATCATTCCCCACACGTAATCGACTCCCAAACTTGTTTCTTTGGAAAGCAAACCTAAAAGTCGTTTTAATAATTTTTAAAATTAAATTTTATTAAAATGACAATATTTTTTGGTGACCCAATAACACCCAAAACAAAGATTGATGGTGATTCTCTCAAACCACATTTTTTTAAACTCATTTTTAATTGAAACAAACCACTAAAATTAATTTTTCCATTTTTCGGGACGTTACGATGGTTACCTGCTCATCTTATCTTATAATTCCACAAATTACTAAGATCAAGGATAAACTTAGATTTATCCATAGGTCAGACACTGTACTTACTAACTTCATAGACAAATTTAAGGTAATCCATAAATTTGTAGTGGGGGCTGGAGATAAGATTAAAATGTTTTGGGCCGGAGCTAAAGGAAATGTATGAAATTAAATAATTAACTTTTGGAAGGGGTTAAAAATGAAAATTTTCATTTAAATAAAGAGCTAGAAGGGGTTAGATTCAATAACTAATTTTTAAGAGTGACTAAAAGGAAATTGCTCCATTTTTAAGATAAGATTAATGCAGATTTCTAAGAAGGGATTTACAGGTTTGGATCAGTTATACAGCAATAGGCCTTGAGACTATACAGGCCTACCTAGCTTAATAAATAAACACTGAAAGAACAGAAATTTTTTAAATTCAATGCATACAGTTACATTCTTCTATATTCTCGATCAGATAATTGAGTTAAGCAGTTAGAAGTAGAATGAGATTTACTCGATTAAAACTTAATTAATACTTATTTGAGTTGATTCGATTTAAATTAAAGTTTGATTGAAGACTTTAATTAAATAAATCGAGCAAGATTTATCGACTTGATAAATTCACGAGTAACAATAATTTTTTATATTTTTTTATATATTTGATTGTCTTACTTTTAAGATTGATTATATATTGCTAATTTTTTTCAAGAATTGTTGTAATATTAGTTTGGTGTATTTGTGAATTGCTATTGTGGTTGTAATATGTAAGTTTTGTGTATTTGTAAATTGTTACTTTAGAGTTTAGATTTTGGAATTGTTTAGAAAATATTTTGATATTTTTTTATAGTTTTATTAATTTGTGTTTATATTCAGTTCTATAAGCATTACTAGATTTTACACATATTTGTAGTAAAATAAAGAAAATATTCTAACGAGTTTAACGAGTAACGAGTCGAATAGAAAAGTAAGTTTTTTTTAAACGAGCACAAGTCAAATAAAATTCTGTCGAACTTATCGAGCAACTAGTCGAATCGAGAACGAATAGAACAATTTTAGAGTTGAGTTGAGCATTATCAAGTTATGATCGACTTGTTATGCAATTTTTTTAAATAAATATGATGCCAATTTTTTGTCTCACTCATGAGTTGTTATGCAATTTTTTTTTTTTTGAATAAATAAGATAGCAATTTAGTTGTATTTCATAGGCTTCTTAATTTACAAGGTGTCATCAAGGTAAGTTTCATTCAAAGTTGTATGCAACCATAGGCCAAAGGAATTTATGAAAGAAGAAAAAGAGAAGAAATTTTGAGGTACATTATGATCCTATCTGCTGTTTCCCCTTCACCCCAAGAATATCCCAAGTCCTAGTTCAACAACAGTCGTCTGCAATGTCCACCAGGGTGCACTTGTGTGCTTGCTTCTTCACCACTGATAATTTCACATATTAAGTCTTTGAAGATCAACCTCTCCACATCTAGAACCACACATGGAATTTCACTTCTGCATTCGCTCCACTCCATTGATCCAACTGTTAATTCTCCCCATAAGGTGATTTTCAGACTGTCATCATCATCTTCCATGCTTATATTTGGTGCACTTTGTATTTTGTCGAGTTCTGAACATAAGTCTCTCACAAGCTGCTGTCTTTTCGTTCTTCTATCGTCTGCTGGTGAGTGCCACTGCTTGTAAGAGCCTTCCTTCACAAATTTTCTGAGTAGGATTTCATTAACTGCATCGCATATAAGGTTCCTGTGGTTCTTCTCAATGAGCTCGGATTGTTTGACTTTTCTGCCAATGTGCTTTCCCTCTACAAGCCTAATTCTTGCCTTGGTTTTTTCTAGGGAAACAAACAAGTTGGGATTGATCAGATGATCCAGCGGATTATGGTGGTAGGCCATGAAGCTGGAGTCCGGTTCGTGGAGAAGACCTGATGCTAGTAGTACTTCTACAATGTATTTATGGTCTGCATTTGGACTATTGCAAACAGGTACAATTTCATTGATAGTTGACCACTCACGGATAGAATCCAAGTTCACAACTTTCTGAACCAAGTGCTGGATGTTTTCTTCTTTCCGGTAATCTGTCGCAAACCCAAGACCGATAGGACTCCAGTCTGCTTCATCAGGGATAAGACCCTCATCATCTGTCATACAAGAAAGTGATAAAAGACTTAATTTTATAAACTGCCCGAGCCTCTCGTAGCAAATAGCTTGTGGCTTCCTTTAATAGGTATACAAAATTCTTAAGTTGGGTATGTTATGCTGTATATATCTTGTGATACAAGTAAGTATGATTGAGTCATAAGGGATATAGGAGCTTCACCTTTAAAAACATATGTTCTTTTCTTCACAGGAGAAGGTGTTTCGTCTCCATAAAATGTGGCATCTAAAACGGAGACTGGACTAGGTTGTTCTGGCACAGTTCTTTGAGGTTCTGCTGCTGAATCACCTTTACTAGACCTTGCTTTTGTATTCTGAATGATAGAAATATAAGCTGTTTAGGGATGATCAAAGTACTAATATGAATGAAAAGGAAGGAAGAAGACGTACAATCTGTTTGTTTTCGTGTTCTTGGGATCTGTCAGCATTTGTGACTTCAATGTCACCATAGGAGGCTGCAGTCATATTGCTCTCGGATCTCATTGAACTAGCATCTCCTTGCTGACTCAGATCTCTCATATCACCACCTATATCACTCGATTGGTCAGCACTTCTCTGCAAATTGTGAGACTTATGCCTCGGTTTTTGATGTGGAAAGCCTGGTTCTGATTGTAGCCTGCTTGATTGCCTTCTGCTTCTGCCCCGACCCGGTGCTGGACTGGTGCAATGAGACTGCCTTTCCGATTCAAGCCTCTTTTTCTGAAGTTTAAGGCATGTGGTTTCCGAAGTCATTGTTAGCTTAGGATTTTCTTGAGCAGTAGGAAACGGCTCTTTTGAAGTTTGGTTGAATTTTGGAGTTCTGGCAGTACCCTTATCCATCAAGTGGAGTCGACTAGAAGCCTCCCTAGGATAATTAGGCCTTGGAGTCAAATCCTTATGTGATCGCTTGTCGATCATTCTATTATCTGCAGTGCTGATCGAACGAAGCTTTCTTAACCTGCGAACCGGTGAAGTACAGTTGCTGGCATTTTCCATAATTTTGTCTGGTTTTACTACGGAGCTAGGGGATCTAAGGCGTGTTGGAGAACTAGTTCCATTAACTGTTGCTGAAACTGCATTGCTACTTTGTAGCTTTCTCAAATTTGGTGCTTCTGAGTGCACACCAACGATGCTGTTTGTATGAGATACAAAATTTGAGGCTTGGCCTTCTTCTCTGCTCTCTAATATCTGCTTCTGCTTCTGCTTCTGCATTGCTTCAAGTATTTGTTTAAGGGCTCTGAGATCCTTTCCCGACTTCTTGAATTCGAGTTCTGCCATCCTTTTCTCGATTTCTCCAAAAACAGTCAGAGATGAGTTTGTGGCTTTCATCGGAGTTTCTCGACACTTCGAAACAAACGTTTGACCCTTTCTTCCATCTTGCTGCTTCCATGGTTCTGGTTCAATTGGACATTTAGATGCAGCCGGTTTCTTTGAGGTCGTATTAGTCAAACGGGGTGAGCTTGGTTCTGTTTTCGAACTTCTCGGTGAACCAGAAGTCCAATTCTTCCTGTTCTCGTAAATTCTTGACGAGTATGAGAGGGGATCATCTTTCAAGTCTTGACTAGTATTGATCGGTCGACTTTGATTCGCATTGGTTAGCACGGGGCTTGGAAATGCTTCCAACCCCATTAACTTGGCTACAATACGGGACTGTCCATGGCAGCTTCCAGGTTCTTTCCTACTATCTAATGATAGCCTTGGGAGATCTTGGAGCTTAATGTTAAGCGCGTCCTGCGAACCCCTCTCATCGTACGAGAACCGACGAGCTTCTCTCGGTGTGCATTCGTAGGACATTACAGGAACATCTTGAAGCTTAGGAAGAACAGGACTCGATTCATCGACATTGATGTTCCTGGTCTTTGCAGGTTTCGGTGGCTGCAAAGGCCTCGGCAAATCGATGTGTGCAAACTTCCAATGCTTCCCTTCTCCCACATTGGTAGCTGCTTTAATTGATAATCCATGGACCTCTCTGTATATGGAATCTTTAACCACATCACGGAGATCAATGGAGTGTAGACAATTGGCGAGTTCCGGCCTTGCGGTCTCTGGGAAGGTGATTTGGCTCATCGATGATCGGTCTATTTGCGATTCTCTGCTGCAGTCAGCAGATGAAAAGGTAGATGAACAAGAGGAAGATGAAAGTGAGGTTCTTGGGGACTCAAAGGAGAATCTTTGTTTATCCTTCACAGTCTTCTTCATGTTATTTTCCTTGACCTCCTGCGAAATAAGCTCCATTAGCTTGTATTTAATTTCCTCAATTCCTCAACAAATCTAAAAAGTGAAATTTAAGTGATAATTATTTCTTACTTGCTTCTTTTCTGAAGCAATCTTGGGATTTGCTCCTTGCTTGCTACTTTGACCTACAGTAACATTGAATGCCAACCATGGAAGGTTGCAGAAATGGGAAATATATAAATATTAAAGGAAAAAAGTAACAATTGAAACAACAAAAGTTAGTTATTGCATTAAAAGAGTGAAGCATGAGCATGAACCATAACAAGCTTTGAAACAAAACTAACTTTCCCAGAATTGAAACAAGTTAATTTTTCTTTCAAACAATCGAAAAGAAATACTTATAAAAACTGAGAAGAAGAAGAAGTACCTGGTGGTGGAAGCCTTTTGGCAAGGAAATGATGGCGATCAAAGAGCTGAAACAGTCCATTCATGCACCCAATTTGCTTCTGCAGATCTGGGTTTTCATCTGATAAATTTGTGTATACAAACTTTGCAGACATGTTCACTTTCTATCCTCAACTTTCTCAGCTCCCAAACAGTTTCTAGGGAGTTTCAACGTCTCTTTTTTATTACCCCCTAAGAGCAAACGAGAAAGAGAAACTCAAAATGTACATATACTATATATATACACATAAACATGCATAGTTAGAAACCATGAAATGCTGTTTTGCAATAGAGGGAATTATAAGTATATCCTAGGTAGTCATCAAATGTCAAGATCTCTGAAATCTGATGGCTGATGTTAACTCACTGAGATATTTCTTTGTATAGGTTTCTGAGAATTTTGCAGAGTAAAATAACAGAAAGAAGAAAAAGGGACAGATTTAAAGATAAAAATAGAGATTGAAGGAACCCCACAGTCCTATTTTCCCCCACCGGGAACCAGATAAAACGTTTTCTAGGCTCAGAAAAGCAAAAGGAAAACCAAAAGGAAAGTGAACAAATCTGATGGCTGATGTTAACTCACTGAGATATTTCTTTGTATAGGTTTCTGAGAATTTTGCAGAGTAAAATAACAGAAAGAAGAAAAAGGGACAGATTTAAAGATAAAAATAGAGATTGAAGGAACCCCACAGTCCTATTTTCCCCCACCGGGAACCAGATAAAACGTTTTCTAGGCTCAGAAAAGCCAAAAGGAAAACCAAAAGAGAAAGTGAACAAAGAAAATAGAGACCAATGATCTGATGCAACATGCAGACCCCAAGAAGAGATGTTGGTTTTGGGTTATAGTTTATAATAATATGTTATGAAACCAGCCATGATAATGTGAAAACCTTTAGTTTTTGAGGAAGAATTAGAAGCTGTACTGCCACCATTAATGTAATCTATCATGGAAGAAAGAGAAATAAATAATTGGGAGGCTGAAAAGGGGAGTCTGAAGTTGGGGATTGTGGGACAGATTGGTTTAGTAAAGAAAGAAATGGAGGAGTTCCATGTGGGAAAAATAATGTGGGAGGTGGGTAGGTCTCCTCCTGCATGTGGAGTCTGTCAGAGATTACCAGCAAACTACAACTCGTAATAACAAGAATTAGAAGAAAGCCTCTCTTCTTCCCAACCATTCCCTTCTTCAAACTTATCATTTTTCTTTGGATTTTCACCTAAACATTTGCCTCTTAATTAGGGAGGCCAATCATGCATGACATCCTTTTTCACTTGTTGAGATTTGACTTCTTATTTATATATTTGTTGATAGGAACATAGTTTTTCATCACCTATTGACGATTTACCTTTTTTCTTCATCGATAAGTCATGATCAATAAAATGACTATTGATCGATATTTTTGTAGAGAAAAAAAGTTAGTCATAGAAATAAATAATGTAATAAATGGGTTGTGAGAGTGTTAGTCCATTATTTTAGTCTTGACTATAGATATTTATAATGATATTTAATGTGTGTCATTCATAAAATCAATATGATTATTTGTAAATTGCTATATTAGATTAATATGATTGTTAGATCTTGAATTGCATTCTAGTAAGTCGTGTAGACCTATGAGAAGTTTAATCTATATAGTATAATTAATTAAAAGATTTATGTGAAGAAAATGTAGATTTGTCTGAAGTTTTGAAAAAATCTAAAGACTGATTAATGTAGAGCTAAAAAGCTCCTGTAAAACTTGTTTGACAAAGACTAATTAATTTTCATAAGTCATCTCTAAAAGTGTAACAATATGTGTTTATGCAACGTAAAGTAATTATAATAGAATACAATTATTAATTACATAGGTAGTGAAGCCAGATGACACAATTTTCTGACAAAATAGCATCGATCTATCGCTCGAACAAAAACATGTTATCACTAGTAAGATTCATGAAATTTCCCACTGAAATGCTGTAGCTGCTAAAAACACACATCTTATATGCATGTGATTTCATTGTTTTCGTACGTTTGATTGATCATAAAATGTGTTCTAAAAAACATTGGTATTAGATATTATTTTCAGACATCGTAAGCACTTGATCCTATCACTGTCGGATGCCATCCTTTATACCCAACATTGGAAGTTGTAACCTTTGATGTGATTGCGAATTAACATCATCGTATATATCTCTTATTAGGGAACAGATTTACAAAACTTTTAAAATGTCATCTCAATCTTTCTATTTTATAGTTATGATGTGATTGTCCAAATCTAACTCTTTACATATTTAATATATTAAAACAAGCCTAGTATAAATCAACTAAGCTAAAATAAACTAAACCATGAGTCAATAACGAGTATTTTTATTTAAAAAATGGAAATTGAATCTTTAATTGTTTTGTCCAAATCAACTCTGATTATATTAATAGGTATTATTAGCACACGTTGAGGAGTGGTTTTGGTTAGAAAATCATAGAATTCTATGTCATTCAGAAAAAGGCGAATATAATATAAAGTTAGATGTTGATGATGAAATGGAAAGGACAAGGAAAATGGACGCAAAATCACATGCATAAAGTTTGAGAATCACCTACACTTCATCAAGCAGGGACCAAATAATAATTAAAGTAAAATTTGATGTTTAATTCGATTAAATCCTATCATTGATTTAAAGGGATAGTACACGCTCTGGTATCTGCAGTTCTATTAGTTTTCAAGTGAATAGAATAACGGTAATATACTCAGCTGAGTGTCCCAAAAATTCAGTTTCAATGGCGCATGTTAATGGATTTCTCTGGGTGCACGTTAGCGGGTCTAATGGAACATGAGTTCTCCATCGATCCGCCGGCGTTTATTTTCCGATTATCCTCTAAGATCATCTCAGCTGTTTTTCTTCTCGTTCGAAGCGTTTCATTGTTCGACTGATGGATTGGCGAAAACTGTTCGATTGCTCAGCAAGTCATGACCTAGAATTACCCCCCCAAAATTCGCGATGGAATCCCGACTGTTTTCCCTCCTTCAGAAATCCTTGAAGATTGAATTTCCGAATGGAAATTATCACTAGTGGGCCAATTCTTGGGGTTTGCTCCAAGTTTCTCCTCTCTTCAACGGACAGTTGACAACTTGTGGAGTAAAGCGCTGTTGGGTTCTCGAATATAGATTAGTTCAGCCGGAAACTATTTTTATTTTCTCATTTAGTACTGAATCTGCTAGAGATTGGGTACTTGAAAACGGTCCATGGCATGTGCAAAATAAGCCCCTCATCCTTAGGAAATGGGAACCTAATCTGAAAAGGCTTAGCTTCAATTTGTCAAAAATCCCAATTTGGGTTCAACTGTACAACGTTCCTCTTGAACCATTCTCTAGAGCAGGCTTAAGCTATATAGCAAGTGCCATTGGAGTTCCAATCTCAATGGATACTATTACTGCGTCAAAATCTAGGCTTGAGTTCGCAAAAATATGAATAGAAATAGGAGTTAAAGATGTTATTCCTAAATACATTGATGTAGTTTTAAAAGATGGGCAAACAACTTAGATCAATGTAGAAGTTCCTTGGCTTCCTCAATCTTGTAGGAGATGTAATGTCTTTGGGCACAATGAAAAAAGATGTATGTATAAAGCCAACCCAAATCCTACAGTTTCACAAGTCTGAAAATAGAAGGGATAAATCATGCCTAATACTGTTGTCATTCATGTTGGAGGAGTAGAAGTTCTACAAGAACCTGAAAAAATTGAGAATCATGATTCTTCTGATGTTGTTGCTAATAAACAATTGCTGATACAAATGATGTTTCTCATCAAGTTACTGTTGTTGAAAGTGAAGAAAACGTGATGAGCGTGGAGGTTGAGGTTGAAGTTAATATTCCAGTTTGAAAGTGAAGAAAACGTGATGAGCGTGGAGGTTGAGGTTGAAGTTAATATTCCAGTTAGAATAGAGAATCATGATTCTTCTAATACTGCTGCTAATAAACAACAATTTACTGATACAATTGATTATTCTCATCAAGTTACTTTTGTTGAAAGTAACCTTAATATCTTAGAGTTTGTTGAAGCTAATGAAATGGATAAAATTGCTCAACCAACTGTCCTTAAAAGGGGTAGAGGCAGACCAATAAAATAAAATGCTAAGGCACCATTTTCAGGTTCAAATAACAGATTCGAATTGCTAAATTCTGTTAAAGAGATTCCAAATAACTTTGAAAACCAACAAAGAAAACCAAGGGTTGCATCACTGGGAGTTGCAGGCTTGGTGAAAGAACTCAAATCAAAAAAGAAGGAACACATAGATAGAGCTAAAGGTCATACTGTTGGAGGTCAAGGGGGTTCCATGGGATCACCTTCTCAATGATTATTAGATTCTGGAATATTAGAGGACTTAACAGTCCTCTAAAGCATAATAAGGTGGTTCTTAGAGCCGCTCAAAACAATGTTGATGTTCTATGTCTTTTGGAGACTATAGTAAAAGTTGACAAAGCTGAGGCTATCTTTAATACTAAATTTCAGATCTGGAATGTTTGTTCTAATTATGACTATGCTCTTAATGGTAGGATTTGGGTTCTTTGAAGGAAGGGTATTAACCTATCTATCATTTAAATTTCTGATCAAAGCATTACTGTTAAAGGATCTTATCTTGGTACTCATTGTTTATTTCGGCTATTTATGGTAGTATGATGGAATTGCTCGAAGACAACTTTGGCAGAAGTTAAAAGAAGTTGATTCTATTGTTAATAAGTCTCCTTGGGTCTTAAGAGAGGACTTTAATATTATCTTGCACTCCCACGAAAGTTCTGACCATGAAGTCTCTGGTCATTATCTTACTTCTAATATAAAACAGTTTCAATAATTAGCTTATGAGCTTGAACTTCATGACCATCCTTACTTTGGGCCTTCTTATACTTGGAGTAACAAGCAACAAGAATTATTTCTTGCAAGGAATCTTGACAGGGTTATGGTAAATTCAAATTGGGCTTCTATCTTTCAGTAATCATTTGTCGAATTCCTTGCACCAGGAATCTCTGACCATTGTATGTCACCAACCTGGCTTTCCAAAGAAATTCCTGCAAATAAGCCTAAGCCTTTTAAATTCTTCAAATTTTGGATTGCTCATCCTTGTTTCTTGAATGAAGTAAGTCAATCTTAGCTCTAACCTGCTCAAGGCAACCCTATGCAAATTCTTCTTACGAAACTCAAAAGACTCAAAGGAAGCCTCGGGAGATTCAACAAGGATAATTACAGTAACCTCTCGGATCAAGTTAAAAATAAGAGAAGAGAGTTGGACCAACAACAACTCCTCACTTTAAAGGAAGAGTAAGCTATTGAAAAGGAACTTTTATTACAAGTTGAGTTCAAGACATTGGAAGATGCAGAAGCTATGTTCCTTAAGCAAAAGGCAAAAGTTCAGTGGATTATAGATGGAGATACAAACTCCAAATTTTTCTATTCTACGATTGCTTTTAAAAACAAGAGAGATACAATCTGTGTTCTTGTTGATGAACAAGGAAATAGATTGGAATCCTTTGATGCAATGGTCAAAGAATTGATTTCATTCTTTTCAAAGCTGATTGGAACAGCTGACAACATGGTAAAAGAGATTGATCATAACCTTCTTAAAGACCTCCTTAATTACTCACTGCCTTCAGAAGCTTCAACAAGTCTTGTCAAGGAAATTACTAGAGAATAAATTCATAAAGCCATTTTCTGCCAAGGCAACGATAAAGCCCATGGACCTGACGGTTTCACACCCTACTTCTTCAAGAATAAATGGACTATAGTGGGTGAGGATGTTATCGTTGCAGTTAAATATTTCTTTCAAAATTCCACAATTCATCCTGATTTTAACTCTACTATTATTGCTCTTACTCCAAAAATTCCTAATCCAAGTGTTGTTAAAGACTTTCGACCTATCTCCTGTTGTTCAGTGATATACAAGATCATTACTAAAATCATTGTTAGAAGACTGACAGATTTCCTTCCTGAGATAATCTCTTTGAATCAAACAACTTTCATTAGAGGCATGAGCATTATTGATAATACTCTCCTTGCACATGAGATAATTAAAGGCAATGGAAGGAAATCCATTTTCCTGAGATGCTCCCTGAAAATAGATCTTAATAAGGCTTTTGATTCCATTCATTCGGGATTCATTTCAGTAATTCTTAAAGCTCTCTATCTTTCTCAAACTTTCATTGCTTGGATCGAAGCTTGTTTCACACAAGCAAGGTTCTTGATCTCTTTTAATGGGACCTTAGTCGGTTACTTTAAAGGTGCTAGAGGACATAGATAGGGAAACTCTCTTTCCCCTTATCTTTTTGTTATTGCAATGAACATTTTATCTCGAATGCTTAATTTGGTTGTTGCAAGAGGAATGTTTGGTTTTCATCATAAACACAGGAAGATTGGTCTCACTCATCTCTCTTTTGCAGACGATTTATTAATTTTTTGCGAAGGTAATATTGAATCAGTTGTTGGAGTTCTTAGTGTTCTTGAACATTTCTATGAAGTCTCTGGGCTAAAATTGAATTCATCTAAATGTGAGATTTTTGCTGCGGGAATTCCCTTAAGAACCATTGAGGATTTAAAACATATTACTGGTTTTCAAATTGGTAGTATGTCTGTCCGTTATCTTGGTATTTCCCTTGTCACCCGCAAGCTTACCGAGAAGGATTGTCAAGCTTTAATTGACAATATCAAGCACAAGCTCTATCATTGGTTTGGAAGAAACCTCAGTTATGCTGGCAGATTAGAGCTTATTAGATATGTCTTATTCAATGCCATCAACTACTGGTGCAGACAAGTAGTATTGCCAGCGTCAATTCTTAAAAATGTGGAACAAATCTGCTCCAGGTATTTCTAGAAAGAAGCATATAAATCTATCGTTGGAGCTAGAGTCAGCTGGGAAATTGTTTGTCTCTCTAAATCAGAAGGAGGCCTTGGTCTGAAGATATTAAAACTTGGAATAGAGCATGTCTTATTAGTCTCATCCGAAAAATTCTAACGGGAGATGAATCACTGTGGGTAGCATGGCTTAAGGGCTATGTATTTAAGGTGCAAGACTTTTGACATTTTCAAGCTGCTGCAAATGTTAGTTGAAGTATTAGTAGAATTTTAAAAATGAGGACTGAAGCATTACCAATTCTTTCAGCTGGTTCCCTGCAAATAAGGGAAATATGGGAATTGATTCAATTCAAAGGGCATAAAGTCTCATGGCATAAACTTATTGGTTCCCATTGCATATTCCGAAGTATAGTTTGATTGCTTGGATGGCTTTACTGAACCGATTGTCTACTAGAGATAGACTTCTTAGAATGGGGATATGCATAAAAGATCTTTGTGTCAATTGCAGCAATTCTCAAGAGACAATGGATCACCTCTTCTCGCAATGTTCTCTGGAAGTAGGACTCTGGAATTCTATTTTGAATCTAAATGGGATGAAGACTTCATCCTTGACATGGGATGAAATGGTTTCAAGGGCAAGTTCATCATGGAAAGGAAGGTTTCTTCTTACCACCATTTTGAAAATTTCTTGGACTGCTTTTATTTACTCTTTGTGGCAGGAAAGAAATCAGAGAATGTTCCAAGGACGTTACAGAACGGTCGAATGCTTGCTCAAAGATGTTAAAGACGTTGCTGGAATCTGACTTAGGGGAAGTAATATTAATAGACTAGATAGTAATAACTTAAAACTATGTAATGTTTGGGGTATAGTCTAACCAATCATTGTTTTGTATAAGTTGTTCTTTGATTCTTTTTGTTGTTGATTGGTTGATTGGTTGTAGCAAAACCTTGATTTTGGGTAATAAAATCTGAATTATTCAAAAAAAATACATACCATGTCATCTCTACTGTCAGCGATGAATTCACACTTTTTTTAGGGTGACACCTGTTTATTTTAAAATTTAAATTTTATTCTATTATTTATTTATTTATTAATTATATTTATTTTAAAATTTATTTTATTAATATATATGTTTATGCCTTCAAAAGTATTTTTTTAATCTACCATTATTTTTCCGAAAACTAGGTTCGCAAATACCTGGTTTACCTTATCAACTCAACCTTGATTGAAACATGAATGTACCCACTCAAAGCACCTGTAAGCATTTAGAAATGATGGTGATAAAAAAAAGCTTTATAAATCATGTGAATCAATTTGGAGTTTAACAATTCCTTCTTCTATCTTCAGATTGCAACCTCTTTATGCATATGTAAATCAAGTAAGTCATCTAGACCATGAAAGTGACTTGATTTACCTTACCAATCCAATCTTGATAGGGACATGAATTTGCCTTATAAAAAAATAAGGTGGCCCCTAATTTTTTTTACATTTAATGTGACTTTTAAATGAAAAATTAATGTCACATTTCGATCAATAAAAATTGTTGTTGATCACTACAATAATAATATGAAGACTTATAGTGTTAATGTGACAATCTATGAACGATAATGAATTAAAAGGATTTATCTTTTATAAAGTTCGGATATTTAATTGATTCTTTTAGGAAGTTTTAAAACTTGTTTAATTTTTAAGTAAACAAAAATAAAAGAATATTTAAATTTTAAGATATTAAAATGTTAAAAATTATTAAATAATATAGATTAATTATTAGAAAATTTTGGAAAACACTATTAAAAATTTCAAACCCATGACCCTTTGCAAAGGGTTAGACACTTGGTCATTGAACCAAACTACGTGTTTGTTAAATTTATGCTAAAACTTATATTTAAAGTAAATGTACACCACCTCAAAATTACGCAAATTTTCTTTCTTTTTTAATTAATCTAAAAGTAATTATAAAGTAGTATATGTTCAAAAGACTCAACTTATATAATAATGAAATCTCAAACACCCCAGACATACGATGTGCTCGAATTCCAGACATTTAAAGATAATAATATCTCTTTAACCACTGAACTAGATTGATTCATATTAAAATTATGTAGATTTACTTGGAGAAGGAATTTAAACTATTATATAAATAAAGATAGTAATTTTAGTAAAACATTAATAAAGTATTAACCTAGCTTCGTGGCTATGCGTCACACTCTTTTGCAATTAATTTACTGAAGAATCAATTAAGTCTTTATCATATCAACATTCAAACTTTGAAGAGGGAAATTTTGAAAAATAAATTCAAAACAAAGTAATAGTTTTGAGCAACCTAAAGGCAGTTCGATGCTAACATTCTAACGTGTTTCATAAAAGTGGGTGGGATTGTTTGAGCATTAAACAAGGGAAGGGTATGGTTTAATTTATTGATAATTAAAATCAAGATTCCATCTTGTTTCCATTGCTCACATGAGAAAGATCCCAAACATCACAGATCTAATCTAACCTTGGAATGTAAGAATCCCAACAAAATTAAAGTTGAATTTTGGCAAATTCATGTTTCTTCCCAACTTCCTATATCCATTAATGCAGTTTTGTTTGTGATGAATTAAGGAAACACATGTTCATTTGTTGAGAATTACTTTGTGTACAAGAAAAGACTTGTATTAAATTTACATAATGGAGGAGGTGATGCTGTCATACATTTTATTAAAGCTGGCAAAAATAAATGGGTTTAGATTAATTAAGATTTTTACTTGATTCATTTTACTTACCGTATCTGTTTAGGATATTCTAATCTTCCACAATTAATAATTAATACAAGATTCTTATTATTTGGCTAGTAGGATCGGTTTAGATTTTATTATATATAGACTCAAATTCTAATTCATAATTGAATTAAATTTTGTTATAATTTTAGTGGTTGATTAATTTTATTTAGGTAATATTTTTTATTTTTTTTTACAAAAGATTTTGTAGTTTTTGAGATATATATATCAAATTTTGAGACATATATATCAAGTTAAGAATATGAAGAATTTTATGTATTTGTTTTCTTTGTGATCTACATTTATTGTGGATTAATTATTTATCTCATCTATACAAGTAGACAATATCGAACTATATTAAAACTTATCTTTTGAGTGTGACTTTATTTTATGTTGATTTTGCATTGTTTGTTTTCGCTTATAAATATCTAACATATTTTTATGAAAAAATAATCAATTTAAATTAGAGAAAATTAATTATTTCTTGCATGATTTTATAATTTCATAAATTAAAAAATATCTTAACAAATTGATTAGGGTAAAGTATATAAATAGTCTCCAAACTTTTAGGGCGCTTATAATTTGGTCACCCAACTTTTGAAACTTGCAATACATTACCAATTCCTCATTTTTCGGGATTTTTCTGACATTTTTTAATAGTTTTATTTATTTATTTACTGTTGATGATGGCTTTTAACTTGTTCTTTTGTTTTTCCTTGATTCAGCTGGATTTGCTGACATCGACGATGGTGGGTGACATCGACAGAGGTAGGACAGGCGTTCGGTTGACGATGACGGCGCGGCGTACTCCCTCTACTTGCAGCGGCAAAAGCAAGATAGGGTGGAACACTAATTTTGAGGTTATCTGGACCGTTAGATCTGCACCCAGTTCTAATGGCTGAGATTGGGTGGCTAGGTTGGAATATGGTGAAACTCTAATTCGCTATTAGTATGTACTTTACTTTTAAATATTATATATGTTTAATATTAAACCAGAATTAATTAACAAACATAATAGCATCTAAACTAATAATGGAAATAAATAAATAACATATAATATTAAATTATAACATTATTAAATAACAAGATCAAATGGGAATCCGGACAAAATTTAGTGTCTACATATGGAAAATACAGTAAGTTCCTATATATTACTCTTGTTGTTTGGGATGGTTTCACATGCTTAAAAATTGAAATACCAAAGCAAAAGTGAAGAAACTGGTGTGGCTCTGCTCTATTTTGTTTGATGCCCTAAACAAATTTGCAGTTTGATTCATCAACATTACTCTATTATTATGTCTTTATAACTCATGTTTGGTTTAATTTGCAGAAGCAACGCCAAAGCTAATACTGCAGATGATGAGTACTGTGAACGGGCTCAGCATTTCCCATATCAAAAGCCATCTTTAGGTATTCAGATCTTATTATTTTTCCTTTTCTCTGGATTACTTCGACTTTACATATTATGCAAATTTGATTAATATACATATTATTAGTTTTATTAATTTACAATATGTTTGAAAGTAAAAAAAAAAATAGTTGTCTTTACGTTATCAGGAAACTTCAAGGCATCCTAAGTTAAATATATAATAATTATATGTAGGTATGATACAAACATAAGATTTTATGTAAGGAGATAGACTTTTACAATTTTTAAGAGACGATAACTTATAAAAATTTAAGTGTGAAAATAAGTTATCAATAGAAAATATAAAAAAAAATTATAAAATATATGATAATTTAAAATTTTAGGGTTATATGAATTAATATCTTATGCACAATATATAATTCTATGCCAACGAGTGTTGGTATAAGTGAATTGAATTTAGGGATTTAAACTTATAAGGCTAAGTTCAAATTCTACCACCATCACTCTTGATGGATTATTTGTAAATTTCTATATAAATCTGAATTGAGTCTTAGATATAGTCTGGCCTTAGATTGAAAAACCACCCTGACCTAGACTTTTTGGTATCAAACTATGTATATTTCTATATGTTACGAATGAATCAAATAATAACTCGTTATTAGAAATAAAGTTAAATAAATTTGGTTTAAAAATATAAATTAAGTGTATTGATTACGTTTTCTTTTGATGATATAATTTTATATCTCTAAAATGTTGTACTTTCATATTCTAGAACTCTAGAAATTTACATACTATCATAAAATTTTATATTTATCTCTAAGTACACTCTTAAGATGTAAAAAACATTATACATAATATCAATAAAATAGTACTTTTGGAACATAAGTCAGTTTAGTACAATACAGTAGAGGTTTTAATTTAGTAACGTTCCGAATTATTTTAATCCCGTATATTTTTATTGAATTATATTTAAAAAATCAACTTTTTCCGGTTCCAAATTAATTCTAGTATATAGTTATAATATATATGATACATAAATTATTATATTTTTCTCCTATACACATCTAGGAATGGCGACGGGGCGGGTTCGGGTGGGTTTTGCTCCCCCCGTCCCCAAAATGAATCCTCGTTCTCATCCCGTTCTCCGTCGGGTTTTTTTATCAGGACGCCCCGTCGGGGATTTTTTTTGCCCCGTCTCCGAACCCGATCCCGAGAACCCAAACTCGATCCGTTCCCGAGAAAAAACCGAGCAACAGTAGTTTTCATAAAAAATAGAAAAAACGATCACAAAAAAAATTGGAAAATTAGTCTATATGATTTACAATTCAAACTCAATTCTAAATAATTGTCTAAACTCCAAAATAAAACACATACATAATTAAATACAAACTTGTTCCGATATTCAAATTATACAACGAAGATGCATACGTAATATTAAGTCAAATAAAGTCATCCAAAATCGTCGTGCCACTTTTGTCACTTTCTTTGGTAGCTCCCTACATCGAGAAATTTATCAAAAAATCAACCAAACTTCACTTTAATAATTATAAAAGCTAGGGTTTAGGGTTTAAATGTTTAGGGTTTGTATTATATAATTAATATAAAAATATAATATATATATATATATATATATATAATCGGGGCAGGACAGGGATACCTTGCCCCGAACCCGAAAAAATCCCCAAATTTTACCCCAATACCCGACCCGATATTATTCAAATCCGACCCGAACTTAGTCGGGTTTCGGATTTCTCAGTAGGGTTCGGGTCGTTCTGTCATTCCATACACACCAAACTAAAGGAGGCCGGCATCTTGCAACCGAATCTAACAAACCACTGTTATAATATTATTTTTGGCAGTATAATCATTTTAATTTCTGTTAGCTACATGGTAGAGCCACGTATAATTTAGGATGGATACATACGCACTTTGAAATTTGAATTTTCTTTTTATTCGTTTCTTATTTTATTAATAATGTCTACCTTGAAATTTTAATTGTGTACATCCATTTAAAAATTTTGTGTTACTGCCACTACAAAAAAAATTTCTAGATTCGTCGTAAGATGTAATGCTAAAATATGTAAAGTATACGATGGTTGTTAGATTATGGTATAGATTAGGTAAAGGCAGTTTAATATTTAACTTGTTAATATGATTTTGATTAACCCCGTAGATGTACCTAAGTTGCAAAGATAGCAACTTGCGCTTAAGAAGATCAGGCCTTGAAGACAATTTCAACGCTGGACTCTCATCATCTAAGAGGTAAAAACCACAGTTTAAAAGCCTTGTTGCACAGGAATTCCACCATCAGCTGAAGAAACCCTTACCGTCGATGGAGAAGATATTAGTTATGGCATTTAATGTTGGTTGAAAACAAGAAGCCTGAAAAGTCTTAAAAACCTTTTTTATCCCATTTTGGCCACCACAATTTTTGATCCACTGAAATGAATATCATAGTTGGGAAAATGAGAGTGCAACCGAAAGCCTTTCCTACTGTCCTTATCTCTTTGATTCAACATTTAGCAGAGGAAAACCTTTTTCTCATGAAAGCTACGTTTAATTTACAGTAGGAAGTTTCCCACCAGTGTCTTGTTTGTGGTCTTCATTTATAAATAAGATTTCTCATCCAGAATAATTGGTTTGCAGAGTAGAAGGATCTGAACAAAGATCGGAGAAGCAATCATAGCCATTCACGAATGAAAGAAGCAGCTACTATGTATTCGTATATAGTAATGTTGCCATCGAAACATGTTGTTCTTGCTTATCTGCACATTAGGGTTTTCCAATCTTGACAAAAGAGATTAGGTGTATAATGAGGATACAATCTTTATATGAACTTGTTTTTGGTACGGGATGCATATGCATGCTTGGTTGGTAAAAAATTAGAAGACGAAGGGGATGGGGAAGTTTGTGAGCTATCTCTAGGCACCTGGGGAGATGATGGGAAAGGCTACTTTCTTAGGCGCCCTACTTTCTTAAGGACTTCAAACTTTTCCAACAATTACATTAATTTGGACTTAACCATCTCCACCACATTTCCCAATTGATCCATCACTTTTTTGTTTCTACATTCGAGTATTTTTGTTTTTGTTTTATGAAACAAACTTGTTTCATATTAGAACATGTCGATATATTTGTTGCACCTCTAATAATAATAATAATAACAACATGAGGTTTCTTCTCCTCTTTACATGGTGTCACTGTGATCTCCATACCATCTTGATGAAAAAATAAATGTTTTAAACCTGACATAAATAAATCTACCATCATATAATCATGGTCTTTTTTTTTTTTACGGGTTTTTCCTTACATCTCAATACAATTCAAACTCTTCTATCATAAAACCTTTTGTTAGGTTTTGTTGGATTGTCTAGTTTTGCGTCAATAACTTGTAAATTATGAATAATCCCTAAAAAACTTTGGTGATGGATGCAATGGAATGTTTGGCATAGGAGGTCTGCTTAGGAATGTTGATGGAATTTTCAAACTCAGCTGGTTCAGGGACGTCTTTGCTGGCTGAACTTTTGGCAATACAATCTTCTGTTGTTTACTTCGTAGCATGGTATCTCAAATATCGGCTTATTATCGAGAGCCGTGACTGTGGACTGACTTAAGGACCCTTTTAAGACAATTATGTTGTATTCCTCTTTAGTAATTAAATAGGTTGTATGAATAATTTCCAAAAAAACGTTGGGTTATTCGACATATCTATCGAGTGTAGAACATCAAGGCCGACTCCTTGGCTATTGGAAGGACTAAGGATTTCGTTCGCATTCACAAGTAATTCTGGTTCTTTGTTGTTTTAAAGCATTGCATAGGAATGTTGAAGTTAGATGTGATGCTGCCCTCTACTGTTTGTATGTGGTGGTTCATGGCCCCTTGTTTAGATTGATAGTGAGCGGATGAATCTGGATGTTATTGGGGAGGTTTCCTATGTATTTGGTTTATCTCTATAAAATTCTTAGACACTCTTTTTCCCTTTTCACCACTAGAGATTGTGTCTTGATGCATTCGAGTTCGAATATGAGAGAAATATTTAATGAGATTCTATATATTTTCAAAAAAAGAAAAATCATGGATTCTAAAAAGAAACCACACCCTCATCTTTTGAGCCAAGACCAACAAGAAGCCTTAACAATCCCTCAAATCGAATTATCAAATTTTGTGGTTAATAGTCGGATGCTAGCCTGAAACTCGAGTTGTTACACAACATCTTATATTGGTAACATATACCTCGATAATTATAAATATTATAAAAGATAATAATCTCCTCAATATATTTTCTCTCATTAATTTTAAAGGTTCAGACCTTAGACGTTTGCAACCTGAATTTCTTTTAATCTGACTCATAAAATTTGTGATACAATGGAGAAATAAAATAAATATGTCAAATTAAAGATCTACAAAAGTGAAGGATCGAAGGCCCACAGTTGTAGCCCACCACAAATCCACATCAAATATCGATCCCTATCGGATACAGATAGAGATCGGCATGGGACTTGAACCCAACGAATTCCAATATGATTCGAAAAAAATATAATTTTACCTTATATATTTAAAAATAATTACAATAATACTCTTCTATATTTTTTTCAATTAAATCACTGTTTTTATTAAATAAAAATAATATTTTATTATTATTTCAGGTCCGGTCGGGTTCGGATTTTATCTCAAAAAATTGGTCAGGTTCGAGTTGGGTGGAGGGTATATATATTTTTCGGGTCGAGTGAAGGATGTAAAATTTTCAGGTCGAGTTAGGTTGGCCGAAACCCGACACATACACTTCAACAACAACAACAACAACAACAAAACTCAATTCCCATATGCAATGGGGTAAGGGGGAGGTAGGGTAGTAGACTGCCCCCAAAGCCAGGTTGAGAGTAGCTTTCGTGGAAGACCTCCGGCAGTCAGAAAATTAAAAAAAATAGATAAAATGCAAAGCATGTATAAATAAATACATAAATACATAGTTGAACAGTATTCATATGCAGTCATAAATATCATTAATTATATGCGCGTTTGAAATGGGAAGTAATCCCTGCAAATAAATCCCTACGAAAAAATCTCTGCATATAGACAGAAACGTAAGACCCGACTAAATTTAAAAGTGAAGAGAATATTACACAGAAGTCCACGATAGCAAGCCCAGTTCTAAGCCTTCATAAATACCAATAACAGAAACGTATAAAAAGTAGAATTCATGGGAATTACTACAAAGGCATTAAAAGAAGACAGAGATGATACACCCTAGAGATGTGACCCACACTACTCGATTACCCTAGTCTTTAGTCTCCATACTTTCCTATCAGAGGTCATGTCCTCGGTAAGGGCTAAATCCATCAAATCAGATCTCAAGCAGTCTTCTCACTTCTGCCTTGGTCATCTTCTCCTTCTGGCACCGTCGACTGTAATCGACTCTACCCTCCTGACCGCATCCGACGGTAGTCGCCTAAGGACACGCCCAAACCACCGTAGTCTTCCCTCCCTCAATTTTTCAGAAACAGGCCACCCCCAAGGACATCCTAATAGTAGAGTTTGTTGTCATATCCCACAGAGTCCTACCGCATGTCCATCGAAGCATTCTCATTTCTGCAGCCTCTATCCTCCTTACATGATCCTTCTTGGTTGACCAACATTCTGATCCATACAACAACGCTGGTCTTATTGCCAATCTATAAAATTTTCCCTTAAGTTTTAAAGGCACCTTCTTGTCACACAAAACTCCAGTAGCAGCCCTCCACTTTAGCCATCCCGCCTTTATACAGTGTGTTACATCATCATCTACACCCCCATCTTTATGTATCATAGACCCTAGGTACTTGAAACAATCCTTTGAGGGGAGAACGTGTCCTTCTATGCATACTTCTACATCTTCATCGTTTTGGTCCCCGCTGAAGTTTGAATATAAATACTCTGTCTTTTCAATATTGATCCTTAGACCTTTTTCTTTCAAAGCAGTCTTCCAGGTAGTCAGTCTATTATTCAACTCAGATTTTGTTTCAGCAACTAGGACAATGTCGTCAGCGAAAAGCATACACCATGGTACACCGTCTGGTGTTCCTCAATAGATGTCGTCCATAATCAAGGCGAAGATGTAAAGACTAAGAGTCGACCCCTGGTGGAGTCCAATTTCCATCGGGAATGCCTCGGTGTCGCCAACTGTAGTCCTGACGTGTGTAGTAGATCTACAATACATATCACGAATCGCCCGGATATAAGCAGTTGGGGTTCGTCTCATTTCCAAAGTCTTCCAAATCATATCTCGGGGAACGCTATCATAAGCCTTCTCAAGGTCAATGAACGCCATGTGAAGATCTCTAGACTTTTCCCTAAATTTCTCCATAAGTCGTCGAAGTAGATGAATCGCCTCCGTGGTAGACCTGCCTGGCATAAATCCAAATTGGTTTTCCCTATATTTAGGGGTGTTCTTTTTTCGGTTTTAACCTAATTAACTGACCGAACCGAATTAGTTCAGTTAATTTGGTCGGCCACCGAATTAGTTCGGTCGGGGAACGTTTAATAATTTTTTTAGAATTCGGTTAACGGTTAATTCGGTTCAAAATCGGTTAATTAATAAAATTAAATGAAATTAAATTTTAAATTTTAAATATATTATATATAACATATGAGCTCATCCCAAACTATTTAAAACTCAATTAATAATTTAGGATCCAATAACTTTTAAACATAAATCAATATTAATTAATTAAAAAATCCATATAAATTTTTTATTTTAAATATATTATTTAAATTAATTGTAAATTGTTTTTAAAAATTTTTTTTTGATTAATTCGGTTAATGGTAATTCGGTTCGGTCGGCCACCGTTTTAACCGAATGAACACCCCTAACTATATTTCTATTATTATTTGTAGATTAAAATAAAAAAATTGATTTTATTTTTTTTGAAATCAAATAATTAATTTTATAAATAAATATTAAAACTAAAAATTAATTCATTTAAATTGAATAATCTAAATAAAGTCATAAATAGTTTGTTATTTCTATTCACTGTTATCTATGTATAATATATTTAAAAGAAAAATCCTTGCACATTGTTCATAATGGCTAGAAGAATTGTGATTGTGCAGTGGACAATGTCCACCGAGTATTAAAGATGGTATCCCTTTGATTAATCCTCCTCCAGAGATAATGGAAGTGGGAATTGCTGAATGGAAGTTATCCCTTGTTGGACAATTCCTCGGTCCAGCACCCAACTTCGCGACGATGCAGAGGATTGTTGACAATTTGTGGGCAAAGGCTTCGCATAGCTCTCGAATTCAGGTCAGTCTAGCAAGCTCAAACCTTTACATTTTCTCTTTTGCTACTGAATCTGCTAGAGATTGGGTCCTTGAAAACGGACCATGGCATATTATAAACAAACCTCTGATTTTAAGAAAATGGGAACCTAGCTTAAAGCGTTTAAACTTCGACCTCTCAAAAATCCCAATTTGGGTACACCTTTACAACGTCCCTCTGGAACTTTTCTCACAAGCTGGACTAAGTTACTTAGCTAGTGGAGTAGGGATACCCATTTCCATGGATTCGGTTACAACCTCTAAAACCATGCTTGAATTCGCAAAGGTTTGTGTTGAGATCGGTGTAAATGATGAAATTCCAAAATCTATTGATGTTATGCTTCAGGATGGTCAAACGTCTTCTGTTTTTGTTGAAATTCCCTGGCTTCCCCCTCGATGTAAGAAATGTTTAATTTTTGGTCATAATGACAAAAATTGCTTGGCCAAACTTCTCCTGCTCCAGCCCCTAACCAAGTTTGGAAAAAAGAAGGAAATTTCATGTTCTACTTCCACCCAGATAGAAATGGAGAATGTACAAGCTCATGACAACCTTAATGCTCAATCTAAGGAAACTCCCCAAGCTTCTAATCACCTTACTGATCCTCAATGTTCTGAAATATATGTCTTGCCTCTTGATAACAACCTACCTAGCTCTGTTACTTCTGATAAGAGTAATTCAATTGATGTTGGACATAGCAGCGTTATTCTTACTGATCTTCCAGTTAACACATATGATGCAAATCAGTCCTTTTCTAATGATCCTCATTTATCAAAAGATGATGGATCCTCTGTACCTAAACGTGGAAGAGGTAGGCCACACAAAGAAAAAAATGGTTTTACTGGATCTAGGAACAGATTTGATCTCCTAAATACGATTGATGAAGCCTCTCCTATTCAAGAAGTCCCACAAAGGAAAAACAGAATTGCTTCTATGGGAGTTGCTGAATTGGTAAAAGACCTCAAACAGAAAAAGAGAGACAAACTAGATAAGGTCAAAAGTATAAAAGTTGGGGGTGAAGGAACCACCTTGGAACTCAACCCTCAATGATAGTGTGTTTTTAGAACATAAGAGGATTTAATAATCATCTTAAACAACACAGGGTGCTTCAAAGGGCAGCCCTAAATAAAGTAGATATTTTATGCTTGCTTGAAACTAGAATGAAGTCTGAAAAAGCTAAGACCATCTTTGATTCTAAACTGGAAAACTGGAATGTCAGTTCCAATTATGATTTTGCAATTAATGGCAGAATTTGGATCATCTGGAAGAAAAACATTGAGTTTTCTTTACTCCAAGCTTTTGATCAAATTATTTCTGCCAAAGTAAATCACAATGGCCTCTCATTTGTCTTATCAACAATCTATGGAAGTAATAACTATATCAACAGAAGATATCTTTGGAATCATCTGCATGAACTGGAGAGATCAATTGGTCACCTCCCTTGGATACTGGGAGGAGATTTCAACATTACTTTGTTTCCTAATGAAAGCTCTGATCATGAACTACTCTGCCCTTACTCTTCACTTGATATGAAGGAATTCCAAACTATTACTCTGGACCTTGACCTCCATGATCATCCATTTTTTGGCCCTCTATTTACTTGGAGCAACAAGCAAACTGATTCTTTCCTCGCTAGAAAGCTTGACATAATTCTTATCAACCATACTTGGGTCAACTCATTTCCAAGCTCTTTTGTTGAATTCCTCCCCCCAGGAGTTTCTGACCACTGCATGGCTTTACTTTGGCTTTCTAAAGACACTCCAACAGACAGGCCAAAACCGTTTAAATTCTTTAACTTTTAGACCTTGCATCCCAATTTTTTGAATGTTGTTAATCAGTCCTGGCAGAATTCTTTCCAAGGCAATCCTATGAAAAGACTGTTCTTAAAGCTAAAGCACCTAAAATCCAGCCTCAAGAATTTAAACCGTTCCTGTTACAATGACATTTCTGCAAGGGTTAAATGCAAAAAAATGGATCTTGACAAGCAACAAATTCTCACTCTGAAAGGTCAAGACTCTGTTGAGAAGGAAATCCAGATCGAACAAGAACTGCACATTCTTGAGGAAGCTAAATTAATGTTTTTGAAGCAGAAGGCAAAGATTCAATGGATTAAGGAGGGAGATAAATGCTCTAAGTTCTTCCATTCAGCTGTTGCTGTAAAAAATAAGAAGGATACAATTTGGATGCTCATTGATGATCAGAGAACTAAATTGGATTCTTTTGATGCTATGGCCTCTGAAGTAATTGACTTTTTTCATAACCTGATTGGGAAAGTTGATCCCCATGTCAAAGGAGGTAACTTGCAATTTTTGAAAGATCTTCTCAACTATTCCATTTCCACTGAATATGCATCTGCCCTGTTCAAAGATATAACCATAGAAGAGATTAAAGAAGCCATTTTTGAGTAAGGCAATGATAAAGCCCCTGGACCTGATGGTTACTCTCCTTATTTCTTTAAATATTCTTGGTCTATTATTGGTGAAGATGTTGTGGCAGCAGTTAAACATTTTTTCCAGCATTCCTTTATGCTCCCTGCCTTCAATGCAACAACTATTGTCCTGATCCCCAAAATTCCCAATCCTAGCAAAGTCAAAGATTTCAGGCAAATTTCATGTTGCTCTATCATTTACAAGACTGTCACAAAGATTTTAGTCAAGAGATTAAATGGTCTTCTTCCTGATATTGTCTCTCTTAATCAAACAGCCTTTATTAAAGGAAGAAGCATTGTTGAAAACACCATCCTTGCTCAAGAATTGCTCAAAGGGTATGGAAGGAAGAACATCTCTCCAAGATGTTCCTTGAAGATTGATCTTCAAAAAGCTTTCGATACTCTGCACTGGGACTTCATTTCAACTGTTCTAAGAGCTTTAAATCTCCCTCCTCAATTTATTACTTGGATCGAATCCTGCTTCACTGATGCCAGATTCTCTATTGCATTCAATGAAAATTTGATAGGGTATTTCAAGGGAGCTAGAGGGATAAGGCAAGGTGATTCACTCTCCCCTCTTCTCTTTGTAATTTCAATGAATGTCCTCTTTAGATTATTGAATTTAGCTGCTGCAAAAAATCTGATTAACTTCCATCCTAAATGCAAAAGAATTGGCCTCACACATTTATCTTTCGCTGATGATTTGTTGATTTTCTGTAAAGAAAATGTGGATTTGGTCGTACGTGTAACCTCTGTTCTTGAACAGTTTCATGAAATGTCTGGATTAAACATCAATGCATCTAAGTGTGTTTTCTATAGTGCTGGTATTTCCCCCAGTAACATTGAGCTTATCAAACATGCTACTGGATTCCATCCTGGTTCCTTGCCTGCTCGATATCTTGGAGTCCCATTAACTTCAAGAAAACTCTTGGTAAAGGACTGTGAACCCCTTATTAATAGCATCAAAGTGAAGCTTTCTCTCTGGTCCAGTAAACAGCTCAGCTATGCAGAAAGATTGGAGCTGATCAGAGCAGTGCTGTTCAGCATTGCTAATTATTGGTGCAGGAAACTCCTGCTCCCGCATTCTGTAATCAGCAAGATTGAACAGTTGTGTTGTCGTTTCTTTTGGAAAGGTTCTGATAAAAATGCTAGTGAAGCGAGAGTAAAATGGAGTAGTATATGCCAGCTAAAGTCTGAGGGTGGCCTTGGTCTGAAAATTTTAAAAGAATGGAACCGAGCATGTATGATAAAACTCATTAAGAATGTACTTGCTAACGAGGGGTCCTTATGGGTGGCCTGGATAAATGCTTATGTCCTAAAGGGCAAAGACTTTTGGCAAATGGAAACAGGTTCAACATTAAGCTGGAGTTTCAATAAATTACTTAAACTTTGAGCCGACGCTCAAGTAATCCTTCCAAATGAAGCTCTATCGATAAGACAAATCTGGCAAGAGATTAGAACGAAGGGGGATAAAGTTCCTTGGCAATCTATTATTTGGTTCCCACAGAACATTCCTAAACACAGCCTCATTACCTGGATGGCAATGATCGATAGACTGCCTACTCGAGATCGACTTCACCGCATAGGTATTGTTTCTAATGAAAGCTGTGTTTTATGCAACGAGTCATTGGAAAACAGAAATCATATGTTCTTCGAATGCCAGACTGCTTCTCAATTACAAGACCAGATCTTTCACCTCATGGAATTTACAAGACAGTATTATCTTGGGAGGACTTGATTACATGGGCAAGTAAATATTGGAAAGGTAAATCCTTGTTAATCACTATCCTCAAATTAGCGTGGAACGCCACAATCTATGTTTTGTGGGAGGAACACAACCGAAGAATCTTCAAAGGATGTTCTCGAAGCATTGAAGAATTACTCCGCACAATCAAAGACTTTGTAGGTATAAAACAAAGGGGTAAAAATATTAATAGGTTTGATGATGTAAACTCAAATCTTTGTATTGCTTGAGGTATTGACTAAAACGATAGATTTTTATTTGGTATGTATTTTCTTTTTGTTTTCTGTGATCGATGATTTTTTGTAGCTACTTAGCTTTCTTGGATAATAAAATTTTGATTTATCAAAAAAATAATAATATATTTTTGTGTTTGCCACTAATCCTCATATTTTTCAACCACACCGAAACCAATGTTCTCCATCCAAATTCATCATTAATTAATCCCTCAATTCACAAGCCAAGGGAATTATAATCAATCCTCTTTTGAGTTGGTTTCCTCTACGCAAATGAATTAGTTTTTCCTATTAAAATACTCCATTTGCAAACTTATCAGGACCCTTTCCTTTTCTTTCCTTTTTGATTCACTTTCACATTTGATTTTTGTTAATCCTTATACCCTTTTTCCTTGCCTCTTCATTTCATCTGTTACTATCAAGTTTCTGCCGATAATATCAGAGGAAAGGGTAATCTTTTTTTTTTAAATCTTGGTCTTATGCATTCTTCACCTTAATTCAATTATTTTTTTAATTATTGGATTATCGTCTGATTTTTCTTGCTCTGAATCGGCTGCTTGGTTCATAATCTTTTTCTGGGTATTCCTTACTTTTCCTTTTTACTGCCGGTTTACCCTGATTTTACTTGCAATTTGATCTGCAACTGGTTTTGGGTAAGTTCTGCCTTAGAGCTTATTTGCTAGTGGCTTTGTCTTTTTCTTTACTGTATCCGGAGGTACTAGTTTTAGCTTCTCGGTATTGCAGAGACTCTACATTTTTGAATTCATTTCAGATGTGGGTTTTCCTTCATTCTTGCTTGAAATCCTTTTCATGTATTCTATTTTGGAACTGAACTCTTTTTCTTTCTTCATTTCTACATATTAATGTTGATAAATGTCTGTCCGTATTATCTTTTTTGAAATGGTCATCGCACTTTTAATGCAATGATAATTCCTTTCCTTTGATTGTCCGTGTAATGATTGATTTTCCCAAGTTCGACTTCCATACAATTTGCAGACATGCAATTCAACGCCTTCGTGGACTAAAATAGCTAAGGTTGCGCTTAAAATGCTATTCTATATATTATAGTCTAGTATCTTAAATATTAAAAACATTTGATCATGAAGATTCTAAGAAAATGTTAAATACCACTGATTTTAAAATCGGATAATGTCTAATAGCATATAATGTCATTGCTCAATAATATAATGATTCAGAAGAATTGTCCTTCTGAAAGCCTTCTGAAGAAGAATAGTATGTCAAGAATAATGACATTGAAACTGTATGCCCCTTGTGTTTCACTTTGTGATGTAAAACCAACTTAGGTTAAAATCCCATATCCACTTTACTTTTATTTATTGTCTCTGTAGTTTGTATCAAATTAACCAAATGTTCACTTTGTTTTCTGTATTGGGAACAAAGTCCATGAGGTTGAATTCTTATTCCAGGCAAGAGCGATGTACTAGTTTTCTGTCTTATTTATAGGGTCTTCTGTCCTATCAAGCTAAAAATTTATTTTTATCCTTAATGGTTCAGTCAGATATATACTTTATCTTTACAGGTTGAAGTTCCCTGAATTTGATTCTTAAAAATAGTTTTCTGTTTATTCTTTTGGACAGACAACATATGTCTTCTATTTATTAGTATATGAAGTTCTTTTAAAAATAGGTTTAATAAGGAGTTTTTTAATCTAACCCTTGTCTTACATGACATGTTGCTCTCATTACTTCCTATGCGCTTTTATGAAGGACAAGTATAAAAAGGTTTGCATTTTCATATTTTTGAAGGATAATTGAACTGATTACTTTTAGGAAATAACATGTACCCTTCTTATAATTGCATGTCTTCTTTATGACTTAATCATGTTATTTTTTCGACAGAGATAATGTTGAGAGTTTTCTCTGTGAGTTTATCTCTCTGTTATGCTAAAATTTAGAAACCTACAACTTCTTTTTGACAATTTCATGCAGGGGTTTATTTGTGGTGATTCATCAGAGACCTTCCTTTTTATACCCGTTGTTATTCTCTTTCCGCTTCAATCATATATGGGCTGAGATGCACATTTCATGGGAGGTGTAGGGGAAAATGAACCAGCCTCAAAACGCATGAAACTATCCTCTGAAGAATTGAGACATCTTTCAAACGGTTCAACTCTTAAAGAGCCTATGAAGGGGGTGAAGAAGTTGTTGGCTCAAAAGGATATTTTTTACAATGGATTAATATTTGGTATGGCAGTGTAAATTTTTAACTCCTCAAGCGGGGTTAATACACTGCCAAGTGTTCTCTTTTCACTTTTTATTTTATTAAATGTAATTCAAGGACACTGTTACAATATATAAGCTGGAAATTTGATTCACGTGCTATTGATAGAATTGATATTAGGTATTTGGTTATAAAGTAGGTTTTAAGTTCTAGTGCTTGTACTCTCACTAGCATTAATGTTTGAATACTTCTTATTAGATAGACAATTTCTTTATTAGGTGCAATCCTTGAGGCTTTCATTAACCATATACTTATTACCTTGTACTAAATAATCTGCTGCAGGGTTTTTAAGATCTGAAAATCATAATGGAAAGATCAATTTTGAGTCATTGAAGATGACGGTTTATGTGTTTTATGATCTTTCACCTTTAATACATATGGCGTGCTAGGAATTATCTAACATAGATGAAATAGTTGAGTTTGTGGACTATAAGAAAAGATATGAAGTCAGTAATTGACTAGATAGTGAGCTCTTTGATATCTCATTCATTTGTGGAAGAATCTTGTGTGGAAGGTTCATAATCATGGTGCTTGAGAATTGTTTGGAAAAGCTAGAAGATAATACATCTATCTTTACTTTCCCATTGCTTAAGCAGCTAGAAGATAAGGTATGTTGGGTTTAGGTTTACACTGATAGGTTAGTTCTTATCTTTTGTTTCTGCAGTGTCTTCCCAAATTATAAATGAATCAAAGCTTCAGTATTTTAGGCTCGTCTTTTTAGTTCTTCACTTCTTATTTTCTTGTTGAATACCTTTTAGTGGTTAGACTTCAAGTATAAGGGACCAGCAATGTGCAACTTTCTAACTATAATTAGCGCATATGTGTCTGCATGGAGAAGTTATTTAACAATAGTCTACTACCTAGGTTGGGTTTTTGAGTTTTTGACACAAATTGGTGTTGAACATGTCAAATGGAACTAAAATGCAAGTTAATGCCAAAGTTGTTGGATTTTCCTGATAACTTTAGAAGTATGATTGGCAAATTATTATTATTATTATTATTTTGATAAGGAATTTTGTCAAATTATTTTTTGCTTCTTAGGTTCATAGTTCTCTGGGCAAATTGGCACTGGCAATTTGTATTTAACTTGTTGTAATCAAAGTGCCAAGATTTGTATAACAAGTAAATTAGCTGATGTTGACATTGCAAGATCAATTAATCACATTAAGGCTTTTGACATGAATACGATATGTTCATTACATTGGTTATGTAATTTGACTCTTGTATTACATTTAAATATGATCAATTTGTTTAGACATGATTAGCATATTTGAACATGAATAATAATTTTAGTTATGAATTTTAAATATTAATAAGTCAATAAAGGAATTAAACATTTTAGGTATTTGAGTAACTAGGAATACTACTAATACAGTTAATAAACCGGTCATATACAGGTCAGGTGGATCGGGTTGCACAATACAAATATTTTCCTGGCATAAACAGATTGACATGATTATAGCACTAAGCCTATTATACAAAACCCAAATTCGTTTACCGACATATCGTGTTTATGCCTTTTAGTGTACTTGCCTTCTCTATGAAAAATATTGGATAATTTGTTTACATATGCTTCCATGTGATTTGTTTTAATGTCTTCTGGCTGGAATACTTTCTGATTCTTGATTTATATTCTATTTTCCTATTCCTCCTCTGACATTTATGAACTTATGACTACCATTTTTCTTTCCTTAAATTATTTTTGCAAATTGTTTTTTTTTAAGTTCTTTACATTTTTCATGCAACAGATACTACAGGCTCACACTGATGAAATATGGTCCTTGCAATTTTCACATAATGGGAAGTACTTGGCTTCATCATCAAATGATTGCTCAACAATCATTTGGGAGGTATTGCTATTCACTCAGAACATGTATATAACATATAATGCCTGGTTTTGCTTAGAATGATAAACTTATCCTATAGCTTTTGCCTTGCAATTTTTATTTTTCAAATTCCTTCTTATGGACATGAGGTCGGTATTTTATTATGTACTTTCATAAAATCTAGCAATGTATGATATATTTTTAGATACTTATAGCCAATGCTTAATCTTTAGCATCTTCCTTTGATACCTTCTGATTCACTTGTATTTCATAGTCTACCTTAGCTTCCAACATAATAAAATAGGAAAGAAATGATAAAAAGAGAAGTGGTGGGTGTTGATTAAACATAGATTATTCTTGCTTGTTATTTCTGTTACTTGAGTTTTGTTTCCTAAGAAAAGAAAATGGAAGTAGATTAGTGTTTTTGAAATATTAAAAATGTTAACAGTTCACTACAAACTGCATCATTTTTATGGACAAATTATGTCCGACTGTGTGGATTATTTTAGCCATTTGTTCATTTTAGTCAAATGTGATTTTGCATTTTCTTCATTATTGTTTGTCTTGTTATAAAGTTTATGAAGGTGAAATGAATAACAAATAACAAAATCAGCTATTATATCGAACCTTAGCAAACAGTACCCTAGGGTGCTGGTGAAATTTAGAAAATCAAATGACCTGGAATCTAAATTTTTAAGCATGTATGGATTGTACTAAAGAGTGAGCATTCTTAGACCACTGTGAATCAACTATGTTTCACTCAGAAGCCCAGCAAACAGTCGATTTTCGCATTCTAATATTTTTACTTATTTTAGGTTGATGCTAATGGAGTATAAAACATAAACTCTCTGGTCACCAGAAGCCTATCTCTTCTGTTTCATGGAGTCCTAATGACCACCAGCTTCTCACTTGTGGTGTAGAGGAGGTTGAAAGGCGGTGGGACGTCTCTTCTGGTGAGTGCCTCCATGTTTACAAAAAAGCTGGTCTTGGCATGGTTTCATGTGGATGGTCTCCTAATGGCAAATGGATATTTTCTGGTGTTAATGATAAGAGTATTAGTGTAACACCCCCAACTCGTATCCGACCCGGATCCGAGTCCGAGGTGTCACATTGACTTTTCAAAACTTATATTTGTATACCAATATAAAAAAAATCCCACTTTTATTCAATATAAGTTCATAATTCATATCATTAAAATAAAAATATATTTAAAACTGATCAAAGCGTATATAATTCAAAACATTAATTACATGCCAACTATTTCCAATAACCAAATACAAATAATTCTAAACTCTTTTCTAATCTGATCATAGGAAATGAGAGGTTGACATGTCTTGCCTTGACTATCGATGCTTCGTTTCTCTATTTGCTTCCAGAAACCTACGTGTGAAACACTCACACACTAAGTCGATGACTTAGTGAGACATATAAAACGTAAAAGGTAACTATAACTCTTAACAATTAATGCATAATTTATACAATCAAATCATAAAATCTCATATACACATTCATGTAACAAATATGTACATACAATTATATCATCGTATCATATAGTATTGTGTACTGTTTCATGTTCATATAATCATTTATTTTGCCTTACTCAGCTTATAACACATTCACTTGTTATCATTTAACTCATTCTCTTTTTCATAATTCTTAGTCATATAATATCTATACTATAGTCATCTATCTTATTTCTTATTTCCATTTAATTCTATTTATCACATACTCATAGACTCTTGCTACATATTCTATATCATATCTTTGTGTACTAATTCTTTATATTATATTAGTTCATTTTTTTCACACAATTTGCCACATAAACATATTATCATAACCTATTAAAATTTTAATTTCTATAATGTTCTCATATGATTTCATTTCCTAGATCTCTGTATTATGTTTTATATCACTTAAGAATTGAATCAGTTTTAAATCATCATTTCATTGAAACATATGGAATTTTCTATACAACATATTTCTATATATATATATTCCCTATTTGATGTACTATTTATTTATCTCCATTAATTTATCTAAATTCTCATTTCTAAGTATAATTCTATTATACTAGTTCATCTACAAAGTGTATTCCCACTATACAATCATAATTATTTTATTCATATAATCCTATAATCGATCATTTTATTACATATACTTATATTTATGGAATTCATAACATTTCTCATGTAATTACTTGAAACATATCATATAAGTTCATTATAATCTTATATATTCCAACATATTAAACTAACATAATTTTTAACATAGATAATAATATATACAATACATATAACCATTACACTGATATTCAAACACACAATTACATAACCATCATATCAAATTTATTTCTATTATCTCTTTATTAGCCCATGTACATTTGTGAGAACTGTAGATATGTGAGTCTATTGAGGTTCTGCACTATGCTGTCACCAAAGCTTGTATGGGGTCCCACTAGGGGTTATGAAATTTGTCCCCGAAGGATCACTGTATGTCCCGAAGGACCGCGTAGACCCTCGATTCTTGACATGCCAACTATACCTATAGCTCTCGTAGCATATAACATGGATATTTTCACTTATATCATTTCACATATGCGCTTTCATATTACATGTCATATAAGCTCATAGCTTCTTTCACATATACATATAGTCACATAGTTTCTTTTCATATTCTCACAGGATCACATAGATCATATCTTATACCTTGTTTTCTCATGTTCACATATATCATGTCATATGGCTCATATCTTTCTCATGCAGTCACATAGCACATACTTCTCATATCATTACATTCAAAAGCATGTTAACACATATAATCAGGCATACATACAATTCATGGCATTCATATATGTATACTCATATATTCATGCATTTTAATATAGGAAATAGACTTGTCGCAAGTCTTGTTTCCATTTAGCACCATAGACCAACTAATATGCACTCACCTGAGCCTCACTAAGTTCCAATCCACTTTTATGATTTTCTTTCTTTCGATCGAATCTTAACTTGATAATCGTTCCAGAACTTGTTCGTGCTCGATATCTATATAATCATACATTGATACATATCAGTATCCAATTGATATATTCCAATCTATCATTTCTTAGAACAAAAGAAAGGTATAATTCTATTTTCCCCTTGAAGTGCATCAATACATTCTACAGTGTATCGATGCACTCTTTAACATGTGCATCGATACACATGTCACCTTCGATGTTTTAATTTTAAGGGGGTGCATTGATGCACTCCTTATGCATCGATGCAC